TTTAGACACGTTAATTTAGAGCGAAAATACTGTTCAAAATCCGGAAAAATACGCCCGCAAATTTTACGGGAGTTCCAGCATAAGTATGCTTGAACTCCCGTAAATTTTACGGGAGTTCCAGCAAGTATAATTGTCCAGTATAATATACTGGAGTTTGGAGCACTGGTGCTCCAGTCTCCCGCAAATTTTACAGGAGTTAGCAAAGTATACCGGTCCAGCATAATATGCTGGAGTTCGTACACAAATGCACCACAACTCCCATATATTATACTGGACCGGTCCCTGTTGCAGCAAAATAGTGGCTATTTTTCATTGACTTGATAAACGCTGGCTATTTTTCATTGACCAGTGTGAAAACTGGCTATACCATGATATTTTAACGTCAGAATTGGACGGAGCCCATTTTGCAACTTTAGCCTCATTGGCCCAAACAGAGCCCAAACTTTTCAGCCCTTATGGGCCGTACTACCATTTGCAACCTAGGGGAATGCACAAATAGCCATTTTTAGCGCAGCTATTTAAAGAATAGCTGAGATTTACACACACACAAAGAAAAAGGTTTTTAAGTTTAGTCTTATCTTCAAACTTCAAACTATCAAGTCTGAATTTTGATAATAGCCTAACTTCAGACCGTATGCAATTCAAACTTCAAATGTTCCGGTCAACGCCTCAAGTAGAACCAAACTTCTGTGGGAGTATTTTAAAAATTTTAAATAGCCATGTGTTCTTTTAATTTTACAAGTGGTCATGAATATCTGCCATGTGACCTTTTGCATGAAGATATATGGTCAAATGGCAAAACCATGAACAAATGGTAGAGGAGACATAACACTTGTCTCTTTGCATGGAATGTTTTTGACAAATAGATGAACACTTGTCATCTTCTTACACAATTCTACAACTATAAATACCCACTTCCTATACCATCCGAAAATACCAACAAATACTTTGCTCTCTCATGATTGCTAATGATTAGTAATCATCACTACAAGCCTTCTCTTTTTTCAATTACGTGTAGCCTTTTGTGTGTTCCAATTTCTTTTATAACCTGTGTTTATTTCATCATTCCAAACTTACTAGATTTATTATTAATATTTTGCTGATTCCTATATCCTTTAAATAAATTAGAGATGGGATTGTTTAATCCTGGGGAAACATTTCACATTACTGAAATAGTTTCTTAGGACAGTGCCCAACACGACTCAAGTTAATTCACATATTTCCGCTCACAAATATTATTGTTGTTATTTTCCCGTGTAGTTTCCCTACGACTTCCAACCGAAGATTTGAAGTAGAATTAAATGTAGTTTAAATTCAAATGTTCCGGCTAAAGTAAGTGTTTGGCAAGCCTGAATTCAGTCCCAAATATCTTAAGTCTTGATTTAAAGGTCTGAAGTTTGCCTTTGATAGAGCGTAACTTCAAACCCGATGATGTGAATTTTTTTTCGTATTAAGGGATTTTTATTTAAATTTTATTTACTCATAGTAAAGTGGCCAAACTTAAAATGATATTTTAAATACTGGCTATGTTTTAGATGTTGCTATCTCAAGCGGTTACCTAGTGTCATTTCAGAATTTAGAATGAAATTTTTTGAGAATAAACTATTAGCGTGTACCTATTATTAATTTTTTGTTTTTCTATCAATTTCATTATTTATCTATATCTATATCTATCTATCTATCTATCTATATCTATATCTATATCTATATTATATTAAAAGCACGAAAGCCCTTAGCAAAATGTCGTTCGCCTTTACTAAACAACATATGCATTTACTTATCTATCTATAACTAAAAGCAGAAGACAAAAGCCCCTCATGAAACCAAGTGGCAAAATCCTAAAAAGACACTTGCCACTTTAAGACATTGCTCCAAATTATTAGGAAGTTGAATTTAGAATTACAATTTTATTTTTATAAAAATTTAAATATGATAATGCAGTTGAACGAGTAGTTTAATTAAAGAAGCAAAACTAGAAACTGAAATCTACCACTAAGGACGTGGAAGCAGCAGAAGGAAGTGGTGATGAAAGTGGCAAAGTGCAGAAGCCACGACGCATGCCACGTTCTCTTCATGCAGCAATGCTTCAACACCCTTTTAATCAACTCCCCTAAAAAATTGAAGTAGTTCAGAAAATATAACAACTGTGTTAAATCTGTGAAGAGAAATTAAAAATGCCAGGCCTCACCATTGGAGATGACCTTTCTAATCTGGAAGTAGAAACCACTCATGGAAAGATGAAACTCCATGACTATGTTGGTCATAGCTATACCATTCTCTTTTCTCACCCAGGTCTAATTCACACTCCCATCAATATATTTATGTCTCGATCGAACCCTTTTTGACGTTGTTATGGATGCAGGTGATTTTACGCCAGTTTGTACAACGGAGCTTGGTATGATGGTTGCTTACGCTAACAAGTTTGGTGAACGAGGAGTGAAGCTTCTTGGACTTTCTTGTGATGATATTCATTTTCACAAGGAGTGGATCAAGGACATCGAAGCTTACAACGTAAACAAACCGCGCACAAATTTCTACATTTTCATTTGAGTTGTACTAGCAGTTTTTATTTTTATCACTATTAATTGATAGTATTGTTTTATACTTGGCAGAATGGACATAAGGTGACATACCCAATAATTGCTGATCCGAAGAGAGAATTGATTAAGGAACTGAACATGGTGGATCCAGATGAGAAAGATTCCTCTGGCCAAAAAGTCCCTTCTCGTGCTCTTCATATTGTTGGCCCTGACAAGAAGGTTTACTACAACACAGATCTCAACCTTAATTTGCTTCATCTCTTCTCCAATTAAGCTATTCGTTTTGTTCCATGTTGACCTACATTTTTCACTTCTAAATTCAAATCAACCGAAATTTAATTTTACTTTTCTTTTCTAGATTTTAGATCGTATTATCTTATCCGTTCTATTTTAAGTGGCATTATTATTACTATTTCAAATACTTTACATGAAACCCAAATTACTAATTGGAGTACAGAAGTTTTTTTTTTTTTTTGATTTTTTGAAATTTCATTTAAATATTTTTATTATTAATTATTTTACTTATATTCCATTTTACGTGGTACTATATTTGGAGAAAGTTTTCTCTATCCATTGATAATATAAATATTGTCTTGAAATATTTAATTTTTTTAACGATTTTCCTTATCTATTCTTTATCTTCTAAATATGTAAAGTAAGTTCTATTTCAAATTTCAAAAATTTTGAAGAATTTCTGTCTGAATTTACGTACCGAAAATTAATTAAGCAGTTGAAAATCACATGAACGGGCTACTGAATCTTTAAGCTATGAAATACGTCACCCGTAACAAAGCACTTTTTTTAAAGAGTTTTATTTAATTTAAAATTTGAGTTTTCTTTTAAATCAATTGATTTTATACATTTTAAAAAATTAACTAATTCAAAATTATTTGGAAATAAAAGCTCCTTCGAAATTTTTGATTTTTGAACCATGAGCGCCGTAACTTTTTTTTTTTTTTTTAAGAAAAGAGCTTTAATTTAATTCAAAAATTCATATTTTTTTAATTTTAAAAAGTTACGTTGTTTACTCTTTAACTTTAAAAAATGATTTAGTTTATTATTTAAAAAATAAAAAATTCCACATTATCTAATTTGGAAGTTCAAAAATAATTTAAAATTATTTCAAATAAATGATTAAATATGATAATGCAGTTGAACTTACATGCTAATGTGTTCTACGGTTTTAAATTTGTTAAAAGCAGTTCAAATTTTTTTAAACTTCTTTAATTGGTTTACAGAAGTTTGTAGACATTGTGAGTCTTTAAAACTCCCACGTTTCATACGTATTTTTAATCTTTAACTTTAAAAAATGAATTTGATTTAAATTATTATATAAAAATTACAAATTACACATTTACAAAGTATGTTTTTTACTCTTTGACTTTGAACAATGAAAATAGAATTTTTTTTAAAAAGTTCTATTCAATTTAAAATTTGAGATTTTTTTTAAATCAATTGATTTTATACATTTTAAAAAATTAACTTATTCAAAATTATTTGGAAATAAAAGCTCCTTCGAAATTTTTGAACCATGAACGCCGTAACTTTTTTTTTCTTCAGAGAAGAGCTTTAATTTAATTCAAAAATTCATATTTCTTTAATTTTAAAAAGTTATGTTCTTTACTCTTTAACTTTAAAAAATGATTTAGTTTATTATTTAAAAAATAAAAAATTTCACATTTAAAACCCTTCATCCTCTACAAAACCTAAACTAAAAATAGCGTACAACCCCTCAACCATATGCACGAAATCACGATTTTTCCAACCAAATAGCACGATTGAATCACACGAAACCATATGGAACTGCTTCAAACGGACATTTCTCCAACCGATTCAAATCTTCATGTTGCTACCAAAAATTCAAGAAACATACGTCTTGCAAAATATGGCTACTCAAAGTGATTTATTTAATGATATAATAATATCGCAAATGCAATGAAAGCTGAAAGTTGGATTGTTCGTCTGTGGAAAATACCAGATCGTTACAATTGAGATGCTACTTTCTCGATTGAATCAGTTCTGCAAGATGAAAAGGTATTAAAAACTATTATTTTCTCATAATTCGTTTTGGTAACTCTATTTTTTGATTAACATGGGTGTTTACAAATCTGAATTTTTTGATATGCTCTTCATATATTTTTTAATTTCGATGTGCATATTCATGGTATAACCAGTTGCAAAAAACTGTATTTAAGTTGCAGATTTTCGTTAAATTGCATGTTTTAAGTCTTTTTTGAACTCACTTATTTTTTTATATTTGTTAGGATCCCGACTTCAATACTATTGAAGGCGTAGATGAAGCGATGGAATGCGAGGTAAATACATCGCTTACTTTTAATTTGTCCTTATGATGACACTTATTTTACTTATACATGGATAGCTATAGTTGATAATAAGATGCTAATCTTGGAGCACTCATGTTCTTATCCCTGGTTGGAGCCTCCAGAATGAATTAAGTTAGATCTCCAAAAGTTACTGGGTTCCCGAGAACCCATATACCGTACTCTAGATCCGCCTCTGCATATAATATGAAAATATAACATGATTCAAAATGAATAGGAATAATTTATAACTAAATGAATCTAAAAAAATCTTTATTTACTAATCTTTTAAATTCATTTGTTATTTATCCATAATCATCATTTCAATCTTCAGTCCCTTAGCTTCTTACATGTAACTCGTGATGAAAATCATAAAGTGGTTCATTTGTAAATACATGTTTATTTAGAAATAATCTCATATGAGATATTAATTCATCTCGAATTATAATTATGATAAAAGAAAGAATAGTATGATAAAAAAAACTAAAGTCACACTAATGGATTGCGTTATTTCAAAACTTAAGAAACTGCCGATTCAAGCGTTATTTTTGGGTGTTTAATCACTAACTTGGTTAACAATTACTTTTAGTTCCAAATATCATAAAATTAATTTGTACTAACATCAATCACAATTTATAGAATAAAATATTTGAGTTTTGTTCATCACATCTAGCGTTTTTCTTCCTAAAATGAAGTTATGTGCGAGAAATTCAAATTTTAAAATTATATAATCGAACCCACAGAGGAATGTGTTATTATATTAGATGACGACATATGATCTCGAGCGTCTATGCAATATATTATTATCAAGAATATGGAAGAAAATGTTATGCATAAATATTCCAAGCGTACTTTTAAAGGCAAAAATAACAAGCAATGACATTTTTAATTGATACAACAATGGAGAGGACTTTGGTCTTTCACATGATTAATGCTACATATACATCTATTTTTATTATATCTCTCGCTGTTCATCCCTTTTGAATTACTGACCGCGCATCGCGCGGGTACGACTACTAGTTTTTCTAATATTTGGGAATATTCCTTTAATACTTTTCCTAATATTTAAGAAAAGTCATTTAACAATTTTCCTTATATTTATCACTTTGAAATCCACTGAGAATCTAAAATATTGCTTATTAAACCTTCCTTTCTTATACTATGACATAATAATTATTAATTTAAATCAATTAAAACTCTTGTAAAAACATAGATTTTATAGAAAATTACCATATAAATCCAATGCAAAGCTTAACAGAAACGGCAAACCCAATCTAAAATAAGCTTTTGCCGAACACCCTTTTCAGGTAATGCCCTTCATCCCATGAATTCTCTCTCAAAACACTGATTCCATGTTTTTTTTTCTTCCGTAGTAATTTCATGTATTTCAAGAATGAACGATTTGTATGATATAATTATTATTGATCATTTTAAAAAATTATTGTTGCTAATTATTATATTTTTACGCTAGATATAGATGCTGGCATGCGATGAAGTTCAGTGTAACTTCAAGTTATACTATAACTTCAAAAATCTCAAAGCTATAACTTGTGTTTAAGAATGTAAGCGCGGTGTCTAAGGATTTTGGGTTGTGTGGCTGAAGACTGGGGTTTTGCAGCAGAGTGTGAATAATACTTGGGGAATTTTCTATGTTATCTTCGGGTCTACGGGGCAGTATTGAAGAAATGGGAAAAACAACTTCGGATTCACGGAAGGTCTTTTAGAATGGGTGTACCAGTTGGATATGCTATTGTGCGTATGAGGAGGGTATGAGATGGTTCATGGTTATTGAGACGATGTGATCTCGTGATTTTGGTCACCCGGGAAGAATGTTGATTGGGTTTCATTATATTTTTTGAATGGGGCTATTATTATTTCTAAGGCAAGTCAAGAGTAAATTGGAAGAAGTGGGGTCGGTTAGTAATGGTTTGAATCAACATGATTGTGGCAATGATCAGTTCCTTCGGCGTGTTAAGTTAGACAGGTGGTTTGTGGTTTTACAAGCGGGCTTGACAACCACCATAATTTGATTGATTTGGGAGGTATTTGATTCAAATGGTCTTGTTATGTATAAATGGATCCCGGAAGAGTTATGGCGGTTTAGACCACGACTTGAGGTTTTTATTTTCTGCGGTTATGGGAATTCAATTGCGTGTTACAATAGTTCTTCTGAAATGAGTTAAGTGAAAGGTTTCTAGCCAATGAAGTGTTTATTCTACTAGTAGTTTAGGGGTTTTGATGAATTCTTGTACTCTCGCATAGCAACATGATAGGTGCCATGAGCGGCATGGGAATTGGAAGTCGAGGATCAAGGTTGCGGCTCGGTGTTAATAAGAATGTCACGAGCTTAGATTAGTAGAGAATAATTCAGATGTTCAAAGTAAGCTGGCATTATCTTAGTGTCGCCTGAGAATGGTGTTCTGTGGAAGAGGCATTCTGTATTGATTTGCGGATTCTTGATTTGCTTTACAGAATTAGTACGGTTGGTGGTATGGAGGTGCAAACTTTGCTACCTGGTGCGGAAAGTCGTGGGAGCGTATCCTACGGGAAAATTGTATAAGTGTGACATGTTATTCACTTGATTGTATAAGTGTGACAGGTTAGGCCAAAAATTAATTTAGTTCAAATATAAATATTTAAAAAAAAAGTAAAACATAGTTTAGATTTTAAAAAAAATAGTTTAAAAAAAGTAAAACTATTAACTATAATCCCCATCCCCAGCCTTAGATTGCTCATTACCCTTCCATATCAATTAGAATTTTGATTTTTGATATGCATGTAGTATGACAAGATTAGTTTTTGCCCCACTTAATTAATAACGAACTAGGAAAGTTTTAAGTGGCCAATAATAATTTATTTAAAAAAATATTACTTTAACTGGCCAATGATTAGTTTGATTACATTAATATATTACTAATAATTAAACTGCTTTTCAGTATAGAAAAAGGTAAAGTTTTAATAACCAAAGAAAATTTACAATACTAGCAAATTTTATGAATTTTAAATTTTTTATGGATTATAATAATAAAATAAGCAAATGATGTTAAACCTAAATAAAAATACTTCAACATATAAACTTATTGAAGCAATCCCTGAACCTTAGGAAAGTAAAAGAAAAGTATTAAAAAATATTCATGTAACGTTAAAAAAGAAAAGCTAGATATATAGAGAATTTGCATTTCAATTACGAGATTCCTTATCAAATATCAAGATTCATATACGCTCTATACAAACATAATTAGCTCATATGATTAAGGGACTATGTCATGAAGAAATATTTAAAGATTTGAAGAAAATTTATTTTCTACAAAAATTGATTGGCCGGCCCACCTAGCCCGCGACCCTCTTAGGGCTTGGTTGGGCTGGCCATTTTAAGGCCCATTTAGATGGCAGGCTGGCCCGCCCTAGCCTACCAAATTTAAAAGCCCTCAAGGCATGAGCTAGGTTGGGTTGGGCTGGGCTGGCCCGTTTTGACAACTCTAGGCACCAACCACTTCTCAGGATTGGGGAGGAGCTCAGACCTACGTCACATGCTCTAGAGCAGATAGTGGAGGAGTATTAGACCCCGAGGGTATTACCAGCTAGCGTGGTTCAGCCTATTGTTGCTGCATGGATTGAGGTTAGGCCCGCTATGTCTGCTGATAAGCTGAAGAGGATAAATAAGTTTCAGAAATTGCACCCTCCTCATTCAGTGGTATACTTACAGAGGATGCTCATGCATATTTGGACCGATATCATTAGATATTGTGCAATTTAGGACTAGTTGAGTCCAATAGAATAGACTTTACTGTTTCTCACATGCCGGGTTCGGCCAAGAGGTGGTGGCAGACCTATGAGACGGGCAGACCAGTAGGGTCACCTCCTCTTACTTGGGCCCAATTTTTATTGCTTTTCTTGGAGAAGTTTATTGTACTCACTTAGAGGGATGACCTGCGCAGTCAGATTAAGCATCTATAGTAGGGTAGTATGGCAGACCTAGTATGAGGCGAGTTTTGTTGATTTGTCTCATCACGTAGCTATCCTGATCCCTACTGAGATAGAGAAGGTGCAAAGGTTCATAGAGGGGATTACCTATGGTATTTGACTTTAAATGGCTAGAGAGGCCGAGACTAAGACTTCATTCACTCAGGTAGTGGAGATTGTTGGGATGATTGAGCACATTCGTGGCCAGGGAAGATAGGTGATGAGTGACAAGAGGCGTTGTCATTTTGGTAGTTTCAGTGGTGTCTTTTCTGGAGGCAAGGTTCAGATCGGTAGAGGTTATGCTATCAGGCCAGTTCAGTCAATACTCAAGGTTTCTCATGGTACATCAGGCAGCCATGGTACCCGTGGTTCTCGCCCGGGGCAGTCATTATACAGTGCATCTCGAACTTAGGTCTTACCAATACACCCCTCGATATAGAGCTTCTATAGTGTTCATTAAGGTTTTGTGGGACAACTTTAGGTCCAGCATCCACGTCAGCAGAGAGGTTGTTATGAGTGTGGGGATTTGAGGCACGTTGTGAGGCATTATCTAGGTTGAAGATTAGCATGCCACAATAAGGTACTCGTGCTACGATTCCAGCACTAATCGCTACACCACCTGCCCAGCTAGCTAGAGGTGGGGGTCATCCAGCTAGAAGTGGAGGTAATCTAGGCAGAGGTCATCCTAGAGGGGGAGGACATGCTGGTGGGGCTTAGCCTCGTTGTTATGCATTTCTGGGTAGGCTGAGGCGGAGTCGTCTGATGTAGTTATCATAGGTATTATCTTCGTTTGTAATAGATATGCTTCGGTGTTATTTGATCCGATTTCTACTTATTCATATGTGTCTTCATATTTTGCATCACACTGAGTATGCCTCGCGATTCTCTTGATATTCCTATTTCTATGTCTACATGAGCTGGGGATTTTACAGTAGTTGATCGCATTTACCAAACTTGTGTAGATACTATTAATGTCTTTGATACCATGGTTGATCTCTTGTTATTGGAAATGGTGAATTTTGAAGTTATTCTTGGTATAGATTGGTTGTCTCCGTATCATGCTATCCTGGATTGTCATGCCACAATTGTGACTTTAGCTATGCCAGGGTTGCCTAGACTAGAGTGGAGAGGGACCCTTGGCCATTCTACGAGTATGGAGTCATTTTTGAAGGCTCAACGCATGGATGAGAAGGGGTTTTTAGCGTATTTGGCTTACTTTCGGGTTTCAAGTGCAGAGGTTCCTTCTATAGACTCGGCACAGGTTGTGAGAGAGTTTTAGGAGGTGTTTCCTGCGGATTTACCGGGCATGGAACACGATAGAGATATTATATTATGCATTGACTTGGTTTTGAGCACTTAACCCATGTCTATTCCACCATACCGTATGACTATAGCTGAGTTGAAGGAGTTGAAAGAGCAGCTGCAAGATTCACTTTATAAGGGATTCATTAGACCGACTGTTTCCCCTTGGAGTGCGCCGGTGTTAGTTGTAAAGAAGAAGCATGGTTCCATGGTGTATTGATTATCGGCAGTTGAACAAGGTTACTATCAAGAACAAATATCCTTTGCCTCGCATTAATAATTTTTTGATCAACATCAGGGTGTCAAGGTATTTTCCAAGATTTATTTGAGATCTGACTTTAATCAGGTGAACATTAGTGCTTCAAATGTCCCTATGATAGCTTTTAGGATTTGTTACGGTCATTATGAGTTCTTGTTGATGTCATTTGGTTGACTAATGCCCCAACAATTTTCATGGATTTGATGAACCGAGAGGTCAAGCCTTATTTGTATTCGTTCATAATTGTGTTCATTGATGACATCGTGGTTTACTTCCATAGTAGGGAGGAGCATGAGCATCACTTGAGAGTAGTGCTCCAGACTTTGAAGGATCGTCAGCTTTATCCCAAGTTTTCGAAGTATATGTTTTGGTTGGACTTAGTTGCACTCTTGGGTCATGTGGTGTCTAGTAATAATATAAAGGTTGATTAAGAAGATTAAGGCAGTTCAGAATTGGCCTAGACCTACTTATGCTATAGATATATTCGGAGTTTCTTGGGTTTGGCAAGCTACTATCGTCGCTTTATTGAGGGATTTTCATCTATTGTTGATCAATTGATGAGTATGAGGAGAGTTATCGAAAGCTCAAGGTTTCCTTGGCTACGTCTCTAATGTTGGTGTTTTCCACAGTTTAGGCCCCTACACCGTATATTGTGATGCTTTATGCCTTGGCTAGGTGCGATATTGGTGTAGGATGACAGGGTGATTGCTATGCGTACCGGCATGTAATAACCTGTATATATATATGTATCTACTTTACTCTACCGAGCCGTGCTATAGTCGGTCGGGTATGGCACCTATTATGCAACCACTAATCAGTTGGGTATGATGAAGCAAGATATAAGATATTACCGAGCCCACCTGTGATCGGGTACAACCGAGCCCTGTGTGGCCGGGTACAATAATGTGTAAAGTGAGGTTACCGAGCCCTCCTGTGTCCGGGTACGACCAAGTCCTCTATGAGGCCGGGTATGGAGTGATAAAATATGCCCCAAATAGTGGCTAAAGACGCGTATAAATATGTGTAGTACAACTTAATACATGGCCCCATTGAGTGGCTTGGTTTTACAAATATTTGCATACATTTATGATCCATGTTCCATAGTTTCCACAGTTTGGTTTACGCCCCCGGTGGCTTGTCTTGGGTGTTCAAGTTCAAATCACGTGCTCACATCTCTTATGCTATGACTCTGATTTACTTGTTGTTCTTAGTCTTACATACTTAGTACATTATCCATACTGACACCCCTTCTTTTGGGTGCTGCGTTCATGCCCATAGGTATAGATAGGTCCGATGATGCTCCTCCCCAGTAGGTGCACGATTCAGCTGTTGGTAATTGCTCTCCACTTCCTCGGAGTAGCTGTTTAGAAGTCAATAGGTACTGAAGCAGATGTTATAAATGTTTTAGGTACGGTGGGGCCCTATCCCGACCCAGTTGGGTAAATGTATGTTTCTTTTGGTACTCTTAGAGGCTTGTATGTACTTTTTAATTTTTGGTAATTATTATTTGGAGGCCTCAATGGCCCAGATTTTATGAATAAAAAGATGTATGAGCACGCGTCGATTTACACGGCCCTTCAGGCATCGTGTGCCGGTCACACCTCCCAAGATTGGGGTGTGACAAACTTTGTATCAGAGCCGATTGTGTCCTAGGAGTCTGCAAGCCATGTCTAGTCTTGTTTATGGGTATGTTGTGCACCATACTTATAAGCAGGAGTCTATGGGATATCTAGGATGAATACCCTTCCTTCTGATCTAGATCGTGTGATAGAGTTGAGTCATAAGAATGCGCTTCTAATCCCTATCTTGTTTATGATTATAGCGATGCCTACCAAGAGACGTTAGGCACCTTCACAAGGATTGAATGAAGAAGTAGGGGAAAGTACCAGTCAGGTGCTACCTGCCCCTATGGGTCAACATAGACCCCACGATGAGATTGGAGCTCAGGTTTCGGGGACACCACCACTA